TAATTTTAAAAATATAAAATTTTAGTATTTTTTTTTTAAATTGACATCTATTAATCATTAAATTTTAATATTTACTCATACTTAAGTGATGTGACATCTAGTAATACAATATTTGAGGATAAAAAAATTAAAAAATTATGTAAATAAGATTATTAATAAAATAAATACTAATCATTCATTAAAATAGATACACAAACAAAGATTTTATATATGTTCTTTTTTAATTTCTTTTCTATATGATATTTTACTAAATATCACATCACTTAAGTGATAATAAGTCACTCGATAATAACAAAATTTAATAATCAACTAACAGCAAATTGATGATAAGATTAAAATTTTATATTTTAAAAAATTTGAGATTAAATGTCTTTATAGATCAAAGAAAGTCCTTTATAAACTATACACTATTTGAAAAGTAATTAGAAAAGATAAGTTAAAAAAGTATTAAAATAAACTTATATACTAAATAAAAACCAACTATTATTTTATTGGATAAACTTCTATTAGAGATATCTATAAATTGAAGGCAAACATAGATGAGGAAAAGAACATAAAATGGTCTATTTTTATTAAACCGGTTCCATACAAATTGACATTACCCAATTCTATTACCTCAACTAATAGACATATTTGTGTCAGTATGCATGTCTGGTTTGATAAGTTTCTGGTTCACCAATTAAACTTGTCAGTTTGATCCGATTAGACAAATTAGGATACCGTTTACGTTACACAATGATTTTGTTTAGTTCACAATTTGGTCTGTCTTACTTAAGTTTGTATTATCATGTTACTTCGATTCTAAGGTCAGGTCTAGCTAGATTCAAAGAATTGGTCCCAAAAAATTAAACACTAGCTAGGTGAAGGAAAACATAACTCCCTCTGCCAACACTCCCAATTACAGTAATATCTAACAAATATGTAATCATGTAAATTAAATGTGTTTTTCTGGAATGTTTTATTGATTTAGGGTTTATAAATTTAAACATGATTGCTAATTAAAGAACTTATTTTACAAGATAGTATTATAAACGAGCCGACTCAAGTTTATTTAATTTCTGCTACAATTAAAATGGAAAAATTGCTGAGTATTTTATAATAAAGATTCCATTAAAATGAAAAAGGAGAATCAAATATCATTAACATTGTCTTTTTTATTATTGCAAAGATAAAAATAAAGCATTAATGTGTTGTATCCAGTTTGTAGCTTTGAAATGCAACCACATTAAAATTAAGTTAGAAAAGTTGTCTTTGGTAAAAAAATTCTAGCTACTCCTACCGAATTCAACTTTATTACAATATATATATACCCAATTCAACTGAAATAAATAGGTCAAACTCGTGAAATCTAATAGTGGTATGATGTTCATTATTTAAATCGGTAAAATAAGGATGAAATGTAATATAATAAAAACCAGTCAAACTTATTCTATCCTATTTTATTTGTTTATAAATTTCATGATAAGATGTCTAAGCATTAAACAAACGGAAGTTTTATTCCATTAGTTTTCACTCCCCTCCAATATTTTTATTTTAATTAAATTCATTTTATCTCATCACTTTCCATCGATTTAAATATAGCTTAAAGTTCTTAAAGAAATAAAAATTCAAGGGATACGGTCACGGTGGACTTAAAAATAGACATCAAGAGCCACCCCGTTTGAACCGCTGACTCGGTCTCCACGAATGGATCAGATAGAACTTACAATGACAAAAACAACTCCAATATTAGAATTTTATATTACGTGACGGCTTTGACTATAAGACTATTAGCGATTTCTGTATTTTAAAAATAATTACACATTTGCTGCTGCTAACAAGTGAGATTAAGTCTCTATTCGCAAAGCTTTATAGATCTTTCTGATATTTGAACATCAAAAGCACATGTTATGAACTAATTAACAAGATATTCTAATATACCATCATGTTTTTTTGGTATCGGCTAAATCTCGATTAGGTCTACTCGGTTTAGTAATTTTTCTTAGTAATGGTTCCACAATTTCACGAGACATTTATGTTTTTATTTTTAATAATTAACGTGAGTTATATATATTATTTGTAATATTTATATTAACTATTTATATTTAGCTGAATTTAATAAAACTGATCTAATTTTAATAAGTTTTTAGATTGTCAATAGTAAAATTGATGTGTCTAAATAAGTGGAAACCAGATTTAGCCCGTTAAGGATTAATGAAAATCCTAACAGGTTTAAAATTATAAGAGATGGTCATGGTCCCCAATATGTCAAATCAGAAACACATGTCTCATGTCTCCCTATTAGAAGAGGAACATCAAGTCCCGTTGATGAATTCAGTAATTTGGCAGAGGAAGTCATTGTACCTAAAGACTATTTTGTTGCAATCTTTGGTCAATATCAATGGATACAGGTATGTGTTACTAACCTTAACTATGTAATCTGACACAATGGTTCTTAATATTGATTAATGAAAATTTTCTATTTGGCTAAAGAAATTTATCCCAACAAGTAGTATCAGAGTCGCCGTTGTCGTTAGGTTATGGGGTTCTAAAGCGTATTATTACATTTTTTTGTGATACAAATTGAATGAATCAATATTTGATTTGTGCTTTTTTTTTACATGATTTGATTCATATATCGGATATATTTTTTTCTATTTTTTTATTTTGTTTTATTGATAGTATATGTATTTGAATGCGTTGGTCGTATGATAGCTCTAATTTAGTTTAATTGATTGTATGGATACATGAATGATTAAAAATTGAATTTTTTTTATTTATATTAACAAGATTGATTAAAGGGATTATTTTAATTATTGCATTTTTTTTCCTAATTCTTATATCTCTTGGCTATTGATATTATGCTCAATTCTGACTTGATAATTGTGAAATTCGTAGATGTTGCTTGTTCATGTATTTATGTTCAAACTTAAAAAATAAACAATTTTTTTAATCAAAATTGAGTGTGAATTTTGGTAAATTATAGACTCTCTTTATTAATTAATTTGTCTAGTAATTTTTAATTAAATTAATTGATATAATATATCGTCAAAACAATCCCTATTATAGAAATTAATTAATTAAAATTACAATAAATGTTAGTATGAAATTATTTATGCAATTTGTGTTATTCCAAAGGAAGACACCATCTGGTCAAATAATAATATGCTTGTGATGATAAATATGTGACAATTATAAAGTTACAATCATGTGAATAATAGTCGGTCCAAAGAAAGGTTATTATTTGACAGAATTAATTGTCAATACTTGACTGTTGCATTGAGAGTATCACTTACAAATTAATTTGTATGTCCAAAGGGAAAGAATTAATATTGTGTTAGGTACTTGTAATGGGTCTATTATGTAAATAATCTGTATATTTTTATTTTATTTTATTTTTTTCATTTTTTATTTTACTTTGTGAGCATGCAATTATTTGTATCTATGTTCTATTACAATTGTTGTTGCTAGTGCTATTAACTTGTCTTCTCAAATTAATAGTATCCTCGTGCTTAATGGGGCAAATTTTAAGGCCTGGAAGGAAGTAGTTGAGATAATTCTTGGTTGCATGGATCTTGATCTTGCACTTCGGGCTGAGAAAACCACTCCAACTCCGAAAAACCCGGATGAGGATAAGGTTGAAAAGTGGGAAAACTCAAACTGAATGTGTCTGATGATTATGAAGCGATTTGTTCCAAAAAAAATTTGGGGCTCTATTCTTGAGAGCCACAACACTAAAGGTTTCCTTGATGTTGTTGAACAATATTGCACTAGTAATGAGAAAGCTGATGCAAGCAGTTTGCTTGGTAAACTTATCTCTATAAGATACAAAGGTAAAGGAAATATAAGGGAGTACATTATGGAAATGTCTAATCTCGCATCAAAATTAAAAACACTAAAGTTAGAGTTGTCTGATGACTTGCTTGTGCACCTAGTTTTGATTTCCCTTCCTACACATTTTGGGCAGTTCAAGGTGAGTTATAATACTCAGAAAGATAAATGGACTTTGAATGAACTAATTTCTCACTGTGTGTAAGAGGAGGAAAGACAACAAAGAGAAAAGATTGAAAGTACTCATTTGGCATCAAGCTCTCAGAATAGGAAGAAAAAGAATAATAAGGATGTTGCAGAAAGAACTTCTCAGTAAAAAAAAGTCAAAAAGGATGAGAACACACCTACTTGCATCTTCTACAAGAAGCCTAGGCACATGAAGAAAAAATGTCCCAAGTACGCCTCTTGACGTGTAAAGAAAGGTAATTTTCTCTCTTTTGTTTGTTCTGAAGTCACTACTAGAAAAATTAAAATTAGAGAGGGAACAAATCCGTCACTAATCTTCATAAAATCCGTCACAAATAAATTAGTGACGGAATTTATGACGGAAATGATTCCGTCACAAAATTTTGCGTCACAAAATATTTAGTGACGGATTATTTTCTCCGTCACAATTAGTGACGGAATTAAGGCATCACAAACAATATAATTTCCGTCACTAATTTCTAACAATAAATGTTTAGAAATTAATAAAAATCCGTCGCAATTTGTGAGGGATTAAATCCCTCGCAATTTGTGAGGGATTAAATCCCTCGCAATTTGAGAGGGATTGAGAGGTATGTGAGCCCGTCACAAATTGTGATGACACAAAATCCCTCACAAATTGTGATGAACGAATCCGTCACAAATTGCGATGCCAAGTATCCGTCACAAACTGTGATGACTATAATTGACTAGAATCCGTCACAATTTGCGACGCCAGAATTCCGTCACAATTTGCGACGGATTTTATCCGTCACTAACTGGGATGAATCCCTCGCTAACTGTTTGATGACTAAATTTGAGGAAACTATTGTTTTAAGAGTCTGGTAATCGATTACCTATACATGTAATCGATTACCAGACAATGAAAATCATATGTTCGAAATTTACTTATTAAAAGGTTCTCTGGTAATCGATTACCCATTTCTTGTAATCGATTACCAGAGCCTATTATTGAAACAATTTCAATCAAAACAAAAATATCAAGTCTTTTTTATGAAAATGCATGATATCATTTAAAATGAAGATAAAAGAACAATACAGACATCAAGAGGAGTTCCCAAGATTAATGATGTGCTTAATCGGCAAGACAACACATGAAAAATAATGAATGACCTCTATCAGTGTAACTATGACAATAAAGCTTCATTGGAGTATATCCATAGCCATGATACTTTTCATCATTTAGAGATCAAAATCCACAAGGCACACATTTAGGCAAAGAAACCCCTTCAAACAATACACATGAAGCAACCTAATTTTACTAAGCTAGATTGCTTATATAGTGATGACCTTATACCTATCTACCAAACATACAATTAATAGAGGCAACATGTTCCAAATCAAATCATACAAAAATTCAAATACAGGGGAAAAAATTCTTAAAATTGATTACCTTTTTTCCCGGCCTAACAAGCCTCAAGGCCACCTCAGCAGCAGTATTTGCAGTAGCAATAACATCAGTTGCCCTTCCTGTGACAGGACCTTCCTGAAGAACATGAGTGTGAGCCACAGCCGCGATGAAACCATTTATATGACAAGCCAAATCACTACAAACAACCAAAGAAACTACCATCAACTTCCCAGTAATAGCGAAAAACACAAATTTCATTCCCCCATCACTCATAACAAAATTCCTACTGAGAAAAAAAAAACCATGCTCAAAAATCTTACATTTTCAATATATCACCTTCTTCCAACACTGTCTCGTCACTAGCTAGTGGAGAGAAATGGCAGACCACATTGTTTACAGATAAGCAAGTTGGGAAAGTAACACCTCTCTCAATCTTCCTCTTCACGTTCTTGTACACATTTCCAGTTTGTCTGTACACACACATAAAACAAACTCTATAAGCTATAATCCAAAAATATTAAAAATAAATAAATAAACAAAACAGCAATTCCGTATGCATATATGAACATGTATGTTAAAAAAGTATCACAATTCACAAATAATGCTCCTTCATATATAAATAATAAAACCTTACTCTCTAATATAGGAATCGTGTATGTTTACAGACATTCACGATTATTTTCTCTTGCTTGCCATGGTTTTTTGGGTGACAGGGGAGATCTTGGTGATGATGGTTGGTCTTCGAAGATTAAAGGACCCGGTTCACTATCCTGGCCATGGAGTAGAATGAAAAACATCAAAAAATCAACTGAAGTCGTCAAACAGTTTATAACAGAGCAGGATATTATAAAGGATTTCAAACCTTTCCACTACAATCACCAACAGCAAGCTTGACCTTCTCACACACATTAGATTTACAAGTGAAATAACCTCCATGTTCTTCCTCATTTCCATCATATAAAAAGACAATCCCTCTATAAATGTGCTTGACAATTCCTTGTTTACCCTGCAAAATGACATAATAGATAAGATATCATGTGAAGCATGAAGATTCCAAATATACCACAAAGAAAAACCTGCTCATTCAGAGATAACAGACCTTAGATGGACCCTCCAGAACCTTGACAGTATCATTAACCAATATAGTCTTACAGTGTTGATCTAGGGCAGTAAGTTTCAAATCAAATAGCCCACTATTTATTTCTAACTGGGTCTGTAGCCACCATTATCACTGTGATTTCTAGGAAGAATATAGAGATAATGGAGGTTTATATGTGGCAGAAAGAAAAGAAAGTTATGTATATAAAAGAGAAAAGTGAAAGAACAAGATATAAATAAAGGTGGTGAAGAGAAAAAACAAGGGGGAGTTAAGAATTACGGTAAGTTAGGATGGAAATAAACTCGTGACCAAGCTGGTCAGAATTTATTGCTTTAGGCACACTAAAGTTTGTCTTTGCCAGCTCCAACTGCACATTTGATCCTTTACCGACAACACAAGGCTGCTCCAACTTTCTAGCATCAGTTGCACATGTTGCATCCAGCTCCAGCTGAGTTGTGGTTCCTCCTGCAGCAAAAGGCTACTCCAACATGCCAGCACCAGCTTCACATGTTTGAGACCTAGCAGTACCTGGAATAGCTTCATCCAAGCCATCACCAAAATGATTAAATAATGTTTCCACTAAGAAAATTCTAAAATGA